GTTCTGAAGGCAAAAGGGGGTCCAACCCGTTACTAGCGTGGTGTACCTAATAAAGTGGCCGGTGAGTGTACATTAGGGATATGTTTGCTGCCACTATATTTATTTTGTATGTTGATCAGGGCTATTTATGAAACTGTCACTTTTGCAAGGACAGTTTAATGATCTTGAAATTTCTCCCAAGTGCAGAATRTGACTGTCGTGGAAATGTTCATTTTACATGGGCAGAGACACGAGATTCAAGAACAAACAGTACTCCGTGAAAGGTCAACAAGATTTATTTTCAATTGCAAGGCACACACCCTGTCACACAGAGCAGAGGTAGAAATGTGTGCACCAAGGCAGTCTCAGATACACTCACTTACACAGCATGTTATCAAAACAAACAGTTTTAGAACTGTGAGATGATTTTAAAAAATGGAACAACCACTAAAAACAAGAGGAGTGTCTGCTTTTGCCTCTGTCACTGGCATCCATAGCCTAAGCTGGTGGCAAAGTGTCCATTGTGTAATCAAGAAGCTCTGCATTTTTAAAACACAGCTTTCTATGTCCAAAGTATAACATCATATCCTTCAAATAGGTGTAGTTAACCTTTTTTTCTGAACAAGACTCGAAGACTTGAGTCCTCCAGTGTATTAAGTGGTCCTTTGGTTTAGCCAATAGCTTGCTTTTGAGGGTGTTCAGTTTTGGGGAAAGCTTTGACCAGTCTAGCTCGATGAAAAGTTTCTGAAAGGCTTCTGAGCTGCTTGGGGCATGCAAGATTCAATGCATAAGTCACACCCATAAGCATGGCACAAGCCCTTGGAAAGTTGCCCAGACTGGTCATGACCTTTGTTCCATCTATGACCTCTGTACCCTCTGACAGATTAGTCTGGATGCTGTAGACCTTCATCCCTTACAGCAAGGTCTTGTGCCACACTGTCTTCATCTTCATCCTAAAAGAAGAACATTTTGTATCTTAGGCTGTAAAGCTAAAGGTGATAGTCCAAAAACATWGATTAAGGAAGACGGGCATTTTAACTTACATAATATTCTTTATAAAGTTGATCAGTAATTACAGCATCGGATGATAAGGTCTCTGGTCAAGTTGATGGTAAGATTGCTAGATGCCTAAAATAAATCACTATTAGTGAAGATCACAGAGCAGTTTTTAACAACAGGAGGCTTAGATTTGAAGAAACCACTGTCTACAGTGTGCTGCAAAGAAGCAAGTCTTATGAAACACTTCCTGTATTAAATGAGGTTTCAGACAACCAGCAATCACTTCAGAWAGTGACTGGCCTTTGAAAAAAAATACTCCATAACACCAAAGCAATGCTGTTTATCACTGACCATATGGGATCGTAGGTACAGTTTTTCACCAAACTAGCTGCTTCCCAATGTTTATAACAGTGGTCCCCAAACTACGGCCCGCCGGATCCGACCCGCCTCCCCATTTGGTCTGGCCCCCAGAACAATACCAGAGAGCATTTAGGTTTTTTTTCATATATGTGTATTTATATCTGATGATAAAGTTGGACTTTTGCAATAAAATGTTCCTTAGTTATCAACTATTTTCGTTATTAACGATTATTAGTTAGTAAGTATTTCATATGTACACGCATATAACGTGACATTCTGTTCCACCCTTCTGCGGTCTGTGCACC